GTCCTATGGGAATTATTTGGGTACCATTTATTACATCATATTTAAACATTTGAAACAATAGATAGCACTGTTTTTATGTAAATACAAATGTGTGTACAAAACCATAAAACTCAGAATTTTTATCAATCACTTCTAGTCATATGAAAATTTAAAAAAAGATTTTGGTAGTTACTTAGAACAGGAATCAGTTGGGAGCACATTTAAATTTTTAAAAAAGTGTTTTTTTAGGACACCCTAGTATACATAACATATATTAAGTACTTGAATAAATATTTTATTAAGAATTAAAGATATTCCTAATTTCATAATTATATTCTTTCTTCAATTATTCTTTCACTTTTCATCAATATAATTGTTTTTTAGTTGATTAAATTTTACTGTTATTATATTATATTGTTTTGTTATACTATTGTTGTTTTATTGTTATATTATTTATAATATAACTTGTTTTAATTATCACATTTTGTTGCCAATATTTTTTAATTTTTAAATAATTTAAATAGAAATTTTCAAAACTTTAAATTTTGATTAACAAATAATAAAAAAATATGTTTTAAAAATTTTTTCGACCAAATGAAAACAAGATATACAAGTATTTTCATTAAAAAAAAATTTTAAATCTATAACTACATTTAGTTGTTTATATATTTAGCTTTCAAATAATATTAGGGGTTGATCGCAAATTATGTCATGCAAAAAAACAATTTTGTAGACCTTTCTCTCTACCCCACTTTGTAACAAACAAATTATAAAATATTAAACCCCTCCTTCCCCTCTCCCTTTTTTTTCACGCCACACTAAAAAAAATTCATTTTTTATTTATAAAAAAACAAATATTCCTATCTTTAGCTGAATTGTTTTTACGACTTGATATTTTCCCAAACAGGATTTAGTCATTAAAGCTGGCATGAAAAGTGGAGCTATTCTTCGTTCAACTGGATTAAGTGCACTTCTGTGTGGTGCATTTGTGGCAATTATTAAAGAATCCAAAGAAAAAGTTATGAAGTTGTGAATGGCCATTTCTATCATTTTTTGATACCTGGGATTTTCTTCTGGTCCTCCGTCAGTAAAGATTATAACAATTGGCTTTGTAACATTCAAACTTAACATAATATAAAATAAACATATACCAGTAGTTATTTAATATAACAACTACCGGTATTTATAATAATTATATTATAATAATTATAATAATAAAAAATTACATATAATTTTTTCATTAATTATATAACAATATATAAACTTTAAAACTCTCTTGTGTGAGAATAGCAGTTGGCGAATGTTTTGCCAAACTTATTGAAATATTTAAGACCAGAGTAGCGCACAAACTCTTTTTTACTGAATCCATCTTTATAAATTTTTTGCTCAGCATAGACTGATGGAATAAGTTTATGGCATAAAGAAAGGACAAAATCGTGATTAGGTAATCTTAACTTTGTATTCTATATACATGATTAAGAAAGCTTGTAAAGTAGTTGCTTGGAGATCAATTGATGAATTTAATAAAGGTCTTTTCCAAAGGATGATTGTTATGAAGGTCTTTTTCTGATTTAATGATTTTTAAAGAAACAGTAATGACATGTTTCTTATCATCAATTTGGTAAGAACTTTTTGGTACGAGATGATGATGACTGTTGATCAGCCAATTATGAATCCTTGATTTTGCAAAGCTTCAGCTGCAACAGCACTGTGAGTGGCAATCTGAATAATTGTTGAAAGTAATTCTGGTTGACTTTCAATAACAGAAAAGTGCCCAACCTTTTCATGAATTTTTAATTAAGAGGCAATCTCAGGATGACCTTTTAAGGTCTGAGACAATACTTTCTACCTTTCTTGGGACGCTTTCTGTCATTTACGACTATTCTTAAATGATTTTAATTCTTTTTTGATACTTCTTATTGTTATTATTAGTTTTTTGAATTATCACATAGCGGCATTTTTATCATCTCGCATTTTTTTTAAAGCAATAGCTTGATAAGTTCTAATTCCGTGATTGATAGCTTTTTAATCAAAACACTCTGCTTTGGTTGGAGAGTGTGTTGATCATATGATAATAAAGTATATAAAGCTTGAGATATTTAAAAAGTGGTACTGTTTGCTAGAAAAACATATAACTTGAGATATTTAAAAAGTGGTTTGTTAGAAAAACTAGAGCTACTTAACTAGCTGTTCTACCCATTTTTGATGTAAATTTTTAAATAAACAGTTTTTAACTAGACATACCATATTTTACACTTGCATTAAAAATTTATAAAGTCGTTTTTCCCTCTCGTATTAAATTTTATATAAGTTTACTGTTACGGCTTTTATAACCGTTTACATTGGAATCCCTTCGAGCACAAATAATAAATTTTCTTAATGAAAAAATTTAGTTCGCAATCCCAGATCAATATATTCGAATATATATACATATATATATATATATATATATATATATATATATATATATATATATATATATATATATATATATATATATATATATATATATACATACATATATATATATATATATACATATATATATATATATATATATATATATATATATATATATATATATATATATATATATATATATATATATATATATACATATATATATGTGTATATATATATATATATATATATATATATATATATATATATATATTTATATATTCAAAACTCTAATTTACTGCCAACAAGGTTGCAAGCAATCATTATTAAGTTATGAGTTACTTTAAAATAGAGGATAGGTTAAAAAGCTAGGAAACAGTTAACTAAAGATTTAAAAAGTTGTAGGTTGTATAAAAAAGGAAAACATGAAGATGGTTAAGAGTTGTAAGATTTTGTTATGCGCAAGAAAAAAACAGGATTATTAAAGGTTTTTATAGCATGAAGGGACAGATACAGTAAAAGGATGCAACTTGCTGAACAATCCTGAATTGAAGCTTCCTTTTACTGTAATCTGTCAAAGAGCCAAGCAAGAACTAGTTTTGGTTTATCGTAATAGAGATGATTTGAACATTAACTATGACACATTTGAACATTAACCATGATTAGAGAAATAGCTTAAAAGAGAAAGGCTAAAGCCTGATGTTGGTGATGATGATGATGATGATGATGATGATGATGATGATGATGATGATGATGATGATGATGATGATGATGATGATGATGATGATGATGACGACTATAATGATAATGATAATGATGATGAATGATAGTGATGATTATGATGATCATGTTGATTATAAGGAAGTTTATATATGCATATATATATATATAAAATATATTCAAATATATATATATATATATATATATATATATATATATATATATATATATATATATATATATATATATATATATATTCGAAACTCTAATTTACTGCCAACAAGGTTGCAAGCAATCATTATTAAGTTATGAGTTACTTTAAAATAGAGGATAGGTTAAAAAGCTAGGAAACAGTTAACTAAAGATATATATATATATATATATATATATATATATATATATATATATATATATATATATATATATACGTATATATAAATATATAAATATATATATATAAATATACATATCAATATATATACATATATATATATAAATATATGTATATATATATATAAATATATATATATATATTTATATATACATATATATATATATATGTATATATATATATATATATATATATATATATATATATATATATATATATACATATATATATATATATATACATATATATATATATATATATATATATATATGTATATATATATATATAAATATATATATATATATATATATATATATATATATATATATATATATATATATATATATATATATATATATATATATATATATATATATATATAGTAGTGATGTACCGATTGCACATTTTTGGCCGATGCCGATACCGATGCCGATGGATAGGAAAAGGCCGATACCGATGCCGATACCGATAGATTACCTAGCTATTATAATTTGATAGTATAAAACCATACATCTTTAAATCGTGTAAAATTTTTCATGGAATCAGAACTGGTAAGCAAATACTTGGACCCACATCAGAGTCAAACCTTTATTTCAAAAGATATTAGAAAAGCTCAATCAAATAAATATACATTTTTTACTTTTTTTTAACTATGAAAAGAAAACTTTCAAAAAATAAATACAATTTTAGGGATAAAAATAAAAAAATGCCATCGGTTGGAAAATCGGTAAATTGATAAAGAAAGACCGATGCCGATACCGATACTGATTGTGCAAAAAGTGGCCGATTAAGCCGATGCCGATGCCGATTAATCGGTACATCTCTAATATATAGCTTTATTTATTCATTTCATTCATTAATTTTTTTCTTAACTTCTATTTTCTATACCATTTTACTTATTTTTTAAAGATGTTTCTTTTTCTTTTCTTGTTTTAAAATATTTATTTATTCTTCTTCTTAACAAAGTTAAAGAATGATATATTCTTTTTTTCCTTATTTTTTTGTTTTGCTTTTCAATTTTATCAATTTCTTTTTTTTTTTTTACTTTCTACGGTTACTAATTATCTGCTTATTTATACATTACTTTTATCATTTTCTTCTTCACTTTTTAGTTTATTATTAAAAAAAAAAAAAAAAAAAAAAAGCTAAAAATTTGTAAATAATCGCCCTCAGCAATGCCACTGGATTGATAATACAGTTGTATATTCATGCTTTATATTCTTTTATATTCAAGTTGTATATTCAAGCTTAATTTTAATGCTTTAAAAACTTGAAGAACTTGATCAAACCAACCATGATGTCACAAATTATTCAATTTCTTCTCCCCTTCTCTCCTATGTCACAGATAATCACAAATTCCATGACCCCCTTCCTCCCCCTAAAATGTGATATAATTTGCAAATGACCCATTAATTAATTTAATAAGTAAATTGTTAAAAATTTAAATTATAATGAACTGTGATAATATATATTCAAAAAAAAATTTCAAATGTGGAAAAAAAAAAATTACTTTCTGAGCAACCATAAACTTCAACCTGAACACAAAATGGCTTTTTTTCATCAAATGAACGAAATTCTAATAATTTTACTGTAAAAGAATTTTCCAAGAACCAATCTCGTGTAGTATCATTTTTTGGATAGTCAAATGTCTAAATACAAAACAAAAATGAGTAAAAATGTATTCTTTTGTTATAACAATCAGATTTTCAATGACTTTAAAAAAAAGTATTTATAGCTTTTTGGCTTATTTTTAGATAAACAAATCACAACAATTCATTTGAGCAGCAACTATAGCAAAATATTCAAAAACAAGTCCATAACATAAAATGTCATGTGGAATAATTTGCATATATAATATATTATGTAAAAATGTAGTAGCGTAAATGTAGATATAACATGTTATGTAGACAACATGTTATTATATGAATATAACATATAATATATTATGTTAAAATGTAGTAGAGTAAATGTAGATATAACATGTTATGTAGACAACATGTTATTATTATGAAAGCAAAATTAACAGGTGTTCTCTCAAAAATGGAATTACAATAAAACATTTGAAAAAAGTATATGGTATGTTTTTTTGACTAAAATTAAATACTATTTAGTTGGACTAATGTGCAATTAATATTTTTAATCAATTTGCAGAAGTGTTCTCCGGAGCTGTCATCTATCCTTTCAAAACTATTTAACAAGTGCTTATCAGAGTCTTGTTTTCCAGCCTGCTGGAAAGAAGCATCTGTTATCCCTATTTTTAAAAATTCTGGAGAGCGATCCGATTCGTCTAACTAATGTCCCATTAGTCTTCTTCCTATCATAAGTTCCTTTCCAATCGTAGTATAAAAGTTATCCTCGATGGACAGCACTCTTCTTCTTATTCTGTAACCTCAGGGGTTCCACAAGGTTCAATCCTTGGCCCTATACTCTTTTTAATTTACATTAACGATCTTCCAGATATTCTCACATCTAAGATTTATTCTTGTCACGATAAAAAGCCAACTCCCTCTGATTGCTTGCAGAGGGCATCTGAGCTTGAAAAGGATCTCACTTCTGCTACAGCATGGGGCTCACAGTGGCTGATGAACTTTAATTCATATAAAACTCAATTTTTTTTAGCCAACCGTTATCGCAATAAACTAGACCTTCCTATATTTATGAATGGTAATGTACTTGTAGTCTCCTACCCTTCATCTTCTAGGATTAACTCTTACTTCTGATCTTTCTTGGAAACCTTATATCAAATCCGTTGCAAAATCAGCATCTGCTAAAGTTGCCTCTCTTTATCAAGCTCGACACTTTCTTACTCTGGATTCTCTTCTATATCTCTACAAATCTCAAATCCGGCCTTGTATGGAATACTGTTGCCATATCTAAGGCGGATCTTCTAATGATACCCTTTCTCTTTTAGACAAGGTGCAAAAACGCATTGTAAATATAGTTGGACCTGCTCTTGCAGCCAACCTTCAACCTCTGTCACATCGTCGTAATGTTGCTTCTCTTTCGTTTTTCTACAAATACTATAATGGGCACTGCTTGAAAGAGCTAGCGTCTCTTGTGCCATCTACTAAAATTCATTCTCGTGTTATTCGTCATTCAATTAAGTCTCATCTTTTTTCTGTTACTGTTCCTAAGTGCTCCAAAAACTCTTACTTGTCTAGTTTTTTTCCTCAAACATCAGTTCTTTGGAATTTGCTTCCTTCATCCTGCTTTCCTGATTCATATAATTTGCAATCTTTTAAATCGTCTGTCAATCGTTATCTTGCTCTACAATCTTCATCTTTTCTCTTCCAGTAACTTCCAACACTAATTAGTGATTGCTTGCATCCTTGTTGGAAGCAAAGATGTTTAAAAAAAAAAAAAAAAATTATTTTTTGGTAATTCTTTAAAATGAACTGCATTCAATTTTCTTTTAGAAAGCCTGCTTTCACGAGCTCCCAAACTGCTGTATTACCTCTGGAGTGATCTTTTTTAACAAAACTTGTTTCTCACAATAAATTTGTAAACAAATTTACCTTTCTAATTTCTATTGTAGACTAAATCTTTCAAAGAACTCCAAAAATCAACGACTGGCCTTATCTCAGGACATTTGGAAGGATTATCTTTCTTAAAAAAATTAATCGATATTTTTCACTGTTCAGTAAAGCAAAGACATTTTTGCATAATGAGCCAAAGCTAAGTCCGGCCAAAAAACATAATCAACATCAGAATATTGTTCAATAGAATCAAAATATTTTCAATGCAATCATTTTGGTACATATTTTTGTTAACTAGAATGCCAATTTGGATAACCAGTAATCTATTTTGATATATACTTATTATATATATATAGAAAACTATTAAGACTATGCAAGTGGAACATCTTCACATTTTGCCAAAATATTCTTAAAAGAAATATATATTTAACAAAAAAGTAAAAAAGTCAAAAGTTATTTTTTTCTCTTTGAGTCTGCTTTTTCCTTGACATCAACATGAAAAAATTGTTAAAGTACATAAATTACTGCTCAGCGTACTAAAGTTACAACTATCTGGCCAACGATTGAAGGTGATACTTATATCTAATGAGTAAATCCCATATTTCTTTCAAAACCACTAAGCTACTAAGCTGTTGATTACCTTTTTATTTGACAAATATAGTGATTATAAGTAAATAAAGAACAAAGAAGATTTATTTTTTGTAATAGTCTGTGCATTTTTTAAACAAGAGGTTTTCTATTGATCAAGTATTTTCTTACAATCTATTTTAAGAGATCAATCAAATGCAACATCAAGAGATTGCAATAAATGGGTAGAGTTACCAATTATAGAACAAGATTCTATAACTGGTAATATACTTGCTATATTACCAGTTATAGAATTATAATTGCAGTTATAATTGCTAGATTACAGGTCTAGTTTTACTTTTGGGACTAATTGCAAGCCATACCAATACTTTGCTTTTAAACTTATCTTTTCTTTTGCACTTTTGGTCTAGAGAAGCATTCTTGGGGTCACTGGAGTAATAATCCATCATTCCCAATAACTGTGGAGTTTGAAAAATAAAATAAGATTCCTCATCAAAAATAAATTTTTTGTTAAAAAACTTTTTATATAAGCATTTGCAAATAGGGCTCTTTGTTGCTCAGTCCATTGTGCTATTGATTCTTGGCAACGATATTTGATTTTTGTCTTAATTTTTAACAACAGTGTGTAATTGGAATTTTAAATGGTTGAACAAAAATTTCTAATGCATGCTTTGGGATTAATGTTAAAATAAGCAGTGAGCTGGTTGACTTGACTTTTTGTCAATTTTGTGCATTTTTTTTTATATATTTTTATTTTATGTACTTACTCTACTTTCATATCTTCACGTTAAACAATATATAGTTGTTTCCGGAACATTTTCTGCTTTAAAACGATTATAAGAAAACAGTTTTCCTCATTTTTAATTTTGTAAAATTTACAAATTTGTACTTGTGCACACATTTTCTTAAATGTACTTTTTTTTAACCCATTTTTGTTAAGTAAAGATAAATGATTTTTGATTAATACATTTTTATTAAAAGTTACAGTCTAGTTAATATAAACATTATTTCAAATGTTATTACTTTAACATTTGCATTTTGTGAAGTTCCATCTTTAAGGGAACACCTGTTATATGGATGTAATATATTTTACATAGACATATTACATAGACAATTTATTCATAACAAGTTACTTAAACAATTTATTGCTATCTTTTAGTATGAACTTGAAGCTAATAAGAATTACTTGAAACTTCTAAATGAATATATTTGAGTAAAAGCTAGTAAAAGCTTTTTAAAACTTTTAATGAGAGATAAACTATGAAGATGAATTCCACATTTGTCTTTTTTCAGTAAGAGCTGTTTAAAGCAAAGAATTTCTTCCATTACTTTTTTAAGGTCAAATCTCTTTTATAAAATTTGTACAAACATTTTATTTTAATAATACCTGTATGAACATATACTTTTGAGATACCTAAGTTTTTCAATGTAAAATCTAGCTGTATAAACCTAATGACTGAATGATCCATTAATATCTCTAGTAACCATCTGATGTACATTTTTGTAAGGAGTACTTTTTTTCTTTAATTTATAACTTAAATAAAAAAAATTTATTAAATTTGTACTTTTAGGAAATAATTAAGACAGTACAAATTTAGCAAAACTTTAAGAAAATTATTAGAATAGCACAAATTTTCAATAAACCAAACAAAAGAATCCAAATATGACAACTATTGTGGAACAGAGGGAGTACTTTTTATTATACAACCACCTGGGTACACACCAAAGTATAACTGTATTTTCATAGATTAATAACTTTTTTTTTTGCCAATTTTTCTTTAGACTGATGATACTTGAGCGAATTTAATTTTTTCCTTCTGTCATTTTCTAAAAAGCACTGTAATGGTCACATGGTTTTTATAGTGGTTCATTTTAGACTGGCATTTAATGCTACTGCAAAATGTAACATTAGACAACAAGTCAACTTTTTTTATGTATTTGTTTGCTTACTAGACACAAAGAAATTTATTTAATAGATACAGAAAACTACTGTACATGCTCAAAAGAACATTGCTAGAGGGCAGTAAAATAATTTTTTGAAATATTAAATTTTTCTTCATCCATTACATGCTATTTTTTTGTTCCCCTAGGCAAGTGTCTAGTGTCAATACGTAAATCCAGACCTGTGCTAAATAGATGCGCTTATTAAAAAACTTGTCATTTTTATTAATCATATTAGGACATAAAAAGTTTTACAATAAATTTACATAACATTTTCAATAAAAAAGTTATTAACAGAAAAAACTCAAAGATAACTTTATTAATTTAAAATAATTAAATATTCTTATTAACTAAAAGGTTATTCATATTATGTATATTATGTTTTTATGATTTAATTATCAAAGTTATAAAAATTTATAATAATAAATTGTGGTTATAGCTCTTGCACAACTTTTTAATTCTAAAACATGAACTTTGAGTGCAAAGAAATATATTAAATGAGCCATTACTAGGGATATGGTGGGGATCAAACTTAGAACATCTTGCTTATGAATTAGGTACTCTAACACTACACCATTACCTCATTTAGTAGTAATGTTTGACTGATGGTGATACCAAAAAGTTGATATGAGAAAATAATTTGACAACTAGATCTATGACTTTCAGTGTTTGGCTAGATGACATTATCTACATAGTGAAGTTCAAAAACTTATTTAAAATTTTTCAAAATAATCAATGAGTAAGAAAATGACTGATATGTTATAAATTTGACATAACTACTAAAAAACTATGTAGAAAAAAAGAGTAAAAGGAGTGATACAAGAAACAAAAGTTTTCTTATAAAAACATTTTTAATGTTTGATATTATTAACTTTCTGAATTGCTGGAAACTGTGCACAATGTGAAACAAAGTTTCACATTGTGCACAGTTTTATTTTACAAATACAGTTGTTTTTGTAAAATGTCATAAATACAAATCCCTAGATTTCAAGAAACATCTTACTTTCAGCTGCAGCTTTCTTTAAAAAAATTAATCTTAAAAATAATCTTTAATAAAAAAAAAACAAAAATTACCAAAAGCTTTTAAAATAAAAAAAAAATCGAACAATGTTTCCTTTTATAATTATTATTGGCTTACTGTAATCCTTTTACCTATTTTTGACTGACATATTGTTGTCATATTTGAGTGTTTTGGTTTTTCTAATTGTTACTCTTCTCTTTAATACATAAATGCATAGCATTGTATATGAATTATTTAAACTTTGTCAAACATGGTTAATCATAATTAAGGATGCAAGCAAAAAAACTTTAAAAAAAAAAAAAAAAAAACATTTCAAACATTATACTTCATATATTATACTTCATACATTATAATTCATAGATTATAATTTATGTATTTACTTCACACATCATATGTCATTATATAAAAATAAATGCATAAAAATATATATGTGGGAAATGTATAGAATATAATGTATGAAACGTTCAAACTGATTGAATATAAATCCTTATTTAATACCCTATAAATCTAAATTTAATACCCAATATTTTAAGTAATTTTTTCATTTTTTTGTAATTGAGAAAAGCTGCTAAAATTTAATTAAATTACTGGACTACTGATAACCATATGGGATAACTCAAGTCATATTTATTATAATATTTTATATATTTTTTATATTTGCCTTAAGGGCAACCAGACAAAACATGAAGTTACACCACTGGGTGTAAAAAGAAAGAGTTTTAAGAATACCAAAAAACTAAAAAAGCTTTTTTAACAAATGTGTTATTATTTTCTGTTTTAGTCTTCTAATAGCTGAATTATACTATAGATTTTGCATATATTATTTTACATTATATTATAGATTTATTAAATCAATCATTAATTTATAATCAATTGCAGATTTGTTGAATTTTTATTTAAAAAAAGTATATTTAGGACTTAAATGTGCATTTAAAAAAACTTAATAAAATTCTTAAAAAATTTAAATAATTCTCAAACTTGATAACGATTAATGAGTTCAGGACTAAGGAGATAACATATAAACAATTGTGAGATTTGAAAAGTTACTTTGTCTTTTACCATGCAAAATAAACATATGATTATATTAAACAAAGAAAAATTCATTAAAATATTCAAATAAATAAAATAAACTCATATAAAAAAAAATAATAAAATAAAAAATAAAATAATTAAAATAAATTCATATAAAATAATTAAAATATATTAAATAAAATAATAAATAAAATAATAAATAAAATAATTAAAATAAATTCATATTAAATATTTTTTCACATTGAATAATAAAACTATAACTAATTTATTACCCTTGGATTTTCTCCAACAACTTTATCAAATCTAAGATCCTTCATTTGATCTATAGTATTTATACCATACTTTATATATATCTTATCAACATCTGTGTTATTAGTTCGAAATAAAAGGCCTGTAAATAAAAATTCAAATAACTCACGGAATGGAATATAAAATAAAAATAAAAAATAGTTAAATTATGAAATTTACATAATGTAAGAAGTAAAATGTATAAAATATAATGTATGAAACATAATGTATGAAATATAATTTATGAAATAAAATGCATGTATAAAGTAAATTGTATGAAGTGTAATGTATGTGTTAAGTAAAAGTTTTGAAAGGTTCAATAGAAATGAACCTTTAGTTTAATCTATTTGATGATAATGTGTAGTATAATTTTTGATTTGTTAAAAAAAATTACAACTTTAAACCAATTCTAAATGTTTCAAAACTGTAAATTGTAATAACATTTTAAGATATCTATATATGCATTCCAACCATAATATCTATTATAGAGCATCTATTATAAAGAAAACATTATTTAAATAAAGATGAGTTCAAACAAAGATGCAAAAAACTATGCAAAACAATATATCAGGCTGTAAGTGCATCATGGTGATGCTGCAATAACTTGTTTTTAAATAATATGTGAAATTTTTTCTAAACTATGATTTATTGTATTCTAAACACAATTTAATAAAAAATAATTAAATACTTTAAAATTTTATATGGTCAAATAAGAAAAATACTTTTTGGAGATAAAACAAAATTCCTATAATTCCGTTTAAAATAGATTTAATTTAAAATATAAACTATAAATATATAAAAAAAGTATATTGCTTTGGCTTGGACATTTTAATAAATATTTCAGTTTAAAAAAGTCTTTCAAGAGTATCATCGGACTTAGGCCATTTTCATTGGTTGTTAGAAGTTTTCTTTTAGCTCATTTATTTTATTCATATTTTTTAATGAAATTTTGAATCTGAGGATATAATTGGTCGAAGCTTCTTGGACTTGAATGCAACTTGATGTGGTTTTTTTCGGGTTAGCCAAATTGGGCTCCTCTCTCAATTTAAACCATATGTGTGACGAGAAACAGCTGATAAACATTGCTATTCTTTTTAATGACAGTCTTTCTTCAGGGATTCGAAAGTATCATAATAGGACTTAAATTGCTCTGCTGTTCCACCATGCTGAGTGAGAACATGGTAGCTTGGTGTTGTTAGTTCAAGTTTGGCTAAAATATTGGTATCTAAATAGTGTCTAAAGGTAATGCATTATATAAAAAATATATTTATTGTTTAAATAATATGTACTGACAGAACAGGTGTCACAAATAATACAAAATATTTTATGAGCAACATCATACTATAAAAATGTTTCTTTTTTAGAAACTTTCAAGGTACCAAAATATTGATCCCTCTGACTGTAGGGCAATGACCATATTTTTACCTTCTGAAAACATTAATCATATGATGCCACAGCTTTGCCACCAAAACTTAAAATTAAAGATGATTGTAAAGTCAAACCTGTTTTGAGTTTAACCAGAGTTAAAACTAGCAATCTTTCACTAGCTCTAAAAAAAGCAGATTGTTATGGAGTGAAAATATCTTCATACAATTAAAATGAGCAGTTTGCCATTGCTCTATTGTGGGTGGAATTACCAGCTTCAGTGTATACATGATAGCAATTAGCATTGATTTTGCTACCATGTGCACGGAACTTTTTATTTTTATTTTGAGAAGTATTATTACTCACTTTTGATTTGAATTTTTGGTTCCAACAATTGCAAAAAATTATCAGAATGATTGCCATTTTGATAGCTTGAACCGGTATATAATTTATTTATATAATTTTATATAATCAAAGCCCATGTTTTTTGCTATTAACTGCCTTTAAACAGGATGCTCAACAACTGTTTGGCTAGTTGATACACAGTACTTTCTATTGTTCTTCTGTCTTCATTTTTATATTTTTGTTGAAAATATTAAACACCATACAAAAATTCATTGATTTGATAGATAAATGGATTTACTTCAACTTTTTTGAATATAGGTGTTACTTGTATTTAAAAGTGTTGTACTTATAGGTGTTGCTTTTCTCCATTGATCCACAGTTTTTTAAGACTATAGGATGAATTCCATCAGGACCTGTTGCTTTTGAAGGATCAGGTTTCAGCAATCTGTTTTTGACTATTTCATAAGTGATAAAATCAACTCTTTTATAGCAAGTGGCTGGAGATCAGTTAAAAAAATTAGAAAACGGTCCTTGTGACTCTACTTCAAATACAGAATAAAAACAATCATTGAGTGTCTTAAATATGTTAAATATGTAAGACACTCAATGATTGGTCACCGATCCATTACTGCCTTCAAGTAAATGGAATTTATCATGAACTTTGATTTTGCTTTTGACATAAGAAATGAATCTCTTTGGGTTATGTTTAAACAAAGAAGTTAGTGCGTCTCTGTAGTCAAAATTTGCTTTTTTCACCACTTTTGTGACGGTTTTAGCTGCTTTGTTATATTCTGCTCTAATAAGATAGTCTAATCCTGGTCCTGTTGACATATATTTACCCTAGAATTTACTCTTTTTTTTACAGCTTCCATGACCTCATTATTAAGACCCATTAAGACCCATGGGATTTTATTTGGCTGGTATTTGTTTTGTGATACTTGGTATGTAGAGTGAAGTAGCATCATTATATTTGTCAATTAAAAGTTTGTATTTTTCAGCCTCAGATATTTTTTAAATATCTCCAAGTCATAACAACTATATAATTTGATATAAAAGTGTAGTTTGCCTTGCTCCACACTAATAGAGGAGTTATTTGTGGTTCATTCTTGTTATTGTTGCTGTAAATGAACCTACAATAGTTAGGTGAGCTTGTCCCTCTGGGGTAGACCCCAAAGGCTCAGCTAGAGATAAGAAAACTAATCTGTCTGGCTCATTGGTTATAATTAAATCCAAGATGGACTTTGGTTCTTTAACACATCAATTTCGAAAAGTTGGGAAAGTGACAAGTTGCATAAGATGGTTTTCCTCTAAACAAGATTTGAACTGAATGACAGGTAAGCTGTTGATCAGTATGTTGACTGCTGTCAAAACACCTCCTCCAATGATAATACTTTCATAGCTATTGTACCTAAAATTAAAGTCACCATAAAAAAATAAGGAATCGCAACGGATTATTTTGAGGGCCTTTGTAGCAGTCTGAATTGATTTGGTAATTTCTAGGAATGCTAGCTCATCAATATTTGGTAGCCAGTAGATACACCCTAAAAGGAGTGATTCTTTTTCGAGCTTGAGCTTTACCCATAGCTGCTCAATGGTACTTTTATTAAGTTGTTCAATATTTGTTAGCGTGTTTTTAAGATAATTTTTTACATAGATAGCTACGCCACCTCCTATCTTTCCGACCCTGTTTCATGAGAAAATGTTATACCCTGCAATGGCAGTATCTAAATCCTCCGTAAATAACATCTCAGTAAGGAAAATAAGATGTTGGCGGTTATGCTCGATGGTTGATTGTATTCTGGATTTCAGCTCGTCAATTTTTGTTTGATTTAGTGAGCATGGATTATTTACCTAGAAATTGATGTTATTGACAACTTTTACTGAACAAGTTTTGATAATTTGGGCAGATAAGAAATGACAGTAAAATGTCTAATTGATAGTGATGGTAGAGTTGGGCGTTTTCTTTTAATATTGCGGCTTGATGGTAGTACTGGATAACATTGTTGAGGCTGATTCAGGGTTTGTTCTAGCTGATGGGGGGGGGGGGGGGGGGTAAACTTTCATCTTCAATACTTGTTGTGATTTTTATTTTGTTGTGATTTTTGATTTTATTTTGTTGTGATTTTATTTTGTTGTGATTTTTATTTTGAAACATTAGCGATAGCGTCTGCAACGTTCTTAATGTTGACTAAGACTGATCTTTGGTGAACAGCTGACTCTTGAGCTATTGGCTTAATGCAGTTAAGGCATTGATAGATAACGAAACGAAATGGCCAATTGAGCAGCTTTAGTTTTGCAAGTTTATTATTTCACTCTTTTTTTTTGCAATTCAGTTTGTTGAATTTGTGTTGTTCTGCCTCCATTCAGTCTTCTCTAGCAAACACATCTTTGTACTCAGGTGTGATGAGACTGTGATGCCTGGCTTTCAATAAGACCAGGGCATGCAAAGAGTCTTTGATTGTGATCTGCATGAGCTTGGTTATTCTGAGTTCTATATTGGATTTTTTATGATTAAAACCTCTGACTTTCACAATGATCAAGGTGTTGATACCAACACCTCTAAAAAAATTCTTGGCTGCCTGTTTACTTTTGTCATATTTGCTCATATACCAATCAAGTGTTACAGTGGTAATATGTCATATTACCACTATAACACTTGATTCTTTTTGCTATCATTGTTTCTGCCTATAAGCTACTTTATTTAGAAATGGATTCTGATCATTTTTAATTTCATTAAATTTGCTGTTGAAGAGTGATGAAAATGATACCAGGTTTTCTTAGTTTGCCAACAGATATTGGTAAGGTTTTGTTTCCTGCTTCTAAGCTCAAGCATTTCTTTTCTAGTTATAAAGAGTTGCAATGCATGTCTTTATAGCTGGAAATTTTGCAAACATTAGGATGCTTTTATAAATAACTTTTCAAAAAAGTTTGTGTTCTATATAATAAAATAATACTGTTTCAAAAATTTTTTTTAACAAAGAATATCTTTAGGGGTTACCAAGGACTCTTGAACATTATATGGGTCGAAAAAATTAAAAAAAAAAAAGTTTTTTAAAAATAATTTTTGTTGGGTCTCAAACAAAACGAAATTATATAAAAATTTAAAAAAATAATCATCATTTTATATAAAATTTTAGAAAAAAAATTATAATTAAAAAATCTTTTTGAATTCACTTTTTTTGCTTTTTAGTTATATGATGAAATTTTCTGTTCATTAAAAGCTTAAATAATAATTCATTTTTAAAATAATTCATATTTTTGAAAATTTTATATTATTTCGCTTAAATTGAGACCCAACACAACATCTTCTTTTTTGTAATATTAGGGACCATGTTAGGGAGAATGTTTGAGGGTCCATGGTCATCCCTAACAATACATTTTTTATTCAAAAAATTATTAAATCCAGAATACCTCTTTAAATTTTCTTTTAAAATGTATGCTGGCAACCTCTAATTTGTATAGAAAAAATTAGAGGTTGCCAGCATACATTTTAAAAGAAAATTTTAAAACCACCCTATTATACTTGTTAAGCATCACACTAATGTGCATATGAGTGTATAGGTGAAATGTAGAAGTGTGTGCTGTTCGTGTTGTTTGATAGAATCTTGTACAGTTAGTGATCAAGGTAAAAGATTTATCTCTGAACGTACGCTAAGTCAGCCCAGTCATACTCCAGAAAACCATGATGGATTTAACACCTGTGCATAGATTTATAACTGACTTATGATTCTGAAAACTAGCCTAGGCGTACTCAAAAGACAAACATCTTCTTCCACAGTGACAGTAATAGTGTTTGAGAAATAGTTGTGCTAAATAACCGTAAAATTAACACATATAGGCTAGACCTAACATTATTTTTAAAACTTTGACATATCAATTATGGCTTAATGGTCAACACAAGCAGTGAATGTCTAAGGTAATAAATAGAAGTACATAAAAATGGATGATAATCTAAAAATAACTTTGGTCTTAAAAAAAGGAAACTTTTAATAAATATAACCTGTAATTGTCATTATTCTTCCCAAATCAATTCTTATATAAGGACTTGAATCTATTGAACACCAAAAACCATCCACATCATAAAGTCTTATAGATCTTTTTTTTGAACTAGTTAGTGGAGAACTTGTAATACTATCTTCTTTAATAATTCCGGTCTCAAAGCCAACAGGTTGAATACATGCTTCTATACAAAAAAAAATGTATTAAAAAAAGTAATAATGCAATGAAAAAGAAAAAACACCTTGAGATTTTTATATATAAAAGAATAAAAACTAAGTATTAGTGTCAAACAAAAAATAACAATTAATACAACATTTTCTTAAAACATCAACACACAAAGACAAACACTATATATCAATTAAAAAACAGTCTAACCGCCTATTAGAGTTACTGCGTAAACAAAATTTGAAGAATCCAATTCAACTGATAATTTAAAAACTTCAAGCTATGAAAAATACACACTATATATATATATATATTATATATATATATATATATATATATATATATATATATATATATATATATATATATATATATATATATATATATATATATATATATATATATATATATATATATATATATATATATATATATAAATATAATATATATATATATATATATATATATATATATAAATATATATATATATATATGTATGTATATAGATACATATATACAGTATCAGACAAAACAAGTGCAACCAAATATATATATATATATATATATATATATATATATATATATATATATATATATATATATATATATATATATATATATATATATATATATATATATATATATATATATATATATATATATATATATATATATATATATATTTGGTTATATATATTTCAACCAAATAATGCTAATTTAGTTTCTTATATATAAGTGCTGCATTTTTTCAATTTAGAGAAATAACTATGTAACTGTTTAGAGACAACGATCTTCAAGTTTTATTCATCACAAAGTTAATTATTTGTACACAAAAATTATTAAATTAATCAAAGGTATTAAAAAAAGTTGATTTCCTTCTAGACAATACAAGTGCAACTCCACAAAATGTTGACCAAGCAGTATTTCTCTATTAATATTTCGTAGCGAATCCTTTGTTGTCAATCACAGCCTTGCATCTTAGAGGTGTAGATTCGATCAGGTGATCAATGAAACTTTGTGGAATCGCTGCCCTGGCTTTTTGGATTTGTTCAAACAGTTGATCCTTAGTACGAACACCTTCACAAATAATTCTGTGGTTGACGATATCCCACAGGTTCTTGATAGGGTTGAGATCCGGAGATTGAGGCAGCCAATCCATCACTGATAGGTGTTTGTCTTGAAACCACTGCTTGACTACTTTTGCAGTGTGTTGTCTTGCTAAAATACCCATTTTATTGGCATATTCCATTCAGCATGAGGTAACATAACATCTTTCAGGATATTTTTATACATGAAACGGTCCATTATTCCATCGATTCGATGTATTTGACCTAGACTGTTAGCAGAAAAACACCCTAGACCATTGCATTGCCTCCATCATGCTTAACGGTCTTATGGCAGTAACATAAATTGAGGCATTTTCCGGCCGGTTGGCGTACACAGCAAATCTCATTGCTCGCAATGATGTTGAACTTCGATTCATCACTGAACAGGACAGTTCACCATTTCTGCACATTCCAGTCAATATGAGATGTAGCAAACAAGAGTCTTTTCTTCTGGTTCTTTAATGAAACCAGGGGTTTCTTTGCAGGGCGCCTAGAAAACAATCCGACTTCAACAGCACATTGTCTGATTGTTTAGTCAAATACAGGCAGCTCTAATTGCTTTTGTATCTCACTTCGATAAACTTTCTTGATAATACTGACTAATTGACGTCCATATACTGACTGAATTACATGTCGGTTTACATGTCTCTTATATTGTTAAATGAACCTGTGTGAACCTGTGAACATATATAGTTAAATGAACCTGTGTGAACCGGTTTACATGTCTCTTATATAGTTAAATGAACCTATGTGAATCTGGAAGATTCTAGATGCTTCTTTTCGGTGTTTCTGGAAGCTTCTGGATGCGTCTGGATGCTTCTGAATGTTTCTGGATACTTCTGGATGCTTCCAGATTCTTCTTCTGGAAACTTCTGGAAGCTTCTGCATGTTTCTGGAAACTTTTGGAAACTTCTAGATACCTCCTTTAATTATTAAAAAACTTCCATGACGTTGACACGGACCAGACTTAAGAAAATGAAACAAACCAAAGAGTTAAACTTGTTTTGTCCACTGCAAAATGGCACTTGTCAATAAAAATTCTGCCTGTGTGCTGTCACATGTCAGCTGATTGCTCATGTCTTGGCATGCTATGACTACAAACTCCTGAACTGTTTGCTGTGGTAGTATAGTTCATTTCATTTTTAAGACATATAAAATTAGGAACACTTTATAGCATTGTTCAATGTTGGTTGTAAATGTTTTATCCAATACTGTATTTACTCATATCATTTGTTTAATAATTTCAATTTTAATGTTATTATGTGGTACTTTTCAGTTAAGCAAAGTTTGAATTTTTCTCTGAGTTTAAACAGTAGCACTTTATCAATAATTTTTGTTTTATAATAGGATTTGTATATCCCTTTTTATAGGGATATACAAATCCTATTATCCCACATAAACTTGTAAAGCTCTGTTGAATTTGCTTTACTCACAAATTGTGTTTGTACCAACGATCGTTATTCTCTGTTAATCCAATATAATTGAACCTTCTATCTTGTGGAGAAGTTTTTATGTTAGCTGTATACTATATTTTTTTGGAGACATTTTCCTTCCAAAGAACATTGTAAAGTTTGTCGGCAGTTGCATTGTTGGTTGGTTGAAGTATAAGTATCAGATAAAAATATTTTATTAAGAGTGGTGATAATATTTTATATATATATATATATATATATATATATATATATATATATATATATATATATATATATATATATATATATATATATATATATATATATATATATATATATATATATATATATATATATATATATATATATATATATATATATATATATATATATATATATATATATATATATCGACAAACTTTACAATGTTCTTTGGAAGGAAAATGTCTCCAAAAAAATATAGTATACAGCTAACATAAAAACTTCTCCACAAGATAGAAGGTTCAATTATATATATATATATATATATATATATATATATATATATATATATATATATATATATATATATATATATATATATATATATATATATATATAAATATATATATATATATATATATATATACTATTTTTTGCAAAAAAAGTGTCAAAAATTAAAAGATTTTCAATACTTTATATTATTTAGAAACATCTTTTAATTTGTAATTGTTAATTTGTAAGATAAATTTATAATTTTTGAGATAAATTTATTTATTTTGATCATTATAAATAAATGAACATAAAAATATATCTATAACAATAAAAGATCATTTTTAGCAATGAGGAAAAGAGATTAAAAAATATTTCTGTTTGCTACCAAGAAATTTATTGGATCTTTTAAATTTTTTTATTTTAAAGTTTGATTTCACATTAAAAACGTTATCTAGTTTTGTCACCACTATCCTTACCTCTGGCTCAGCTAAATTCCAGCTAATTTTTTGCAGAGTGGAATTAGTTGTGATCTATGAAATTGCCCTAATATCCATTTTTGGTGTGCATTCTTATAAAATGTACGCCAAATAACACCATCTTTTGTTTTGCAATCACAATTAAATGTCTAATTTAATGTTTGATCATTGATGAAAATCAAGAAACTGATGAAAACCCACACTTATCCTGAAATTAACAAGTCTAATTTTCAACAAAATGTTCTTCAGTACCTTTACAAAATAAAAACCTATGACAAGTTGTATGTTTTGCGCACGTTGTATTTATCCATTAAATAAATTTTTTTTACATTTCTATGATATGCTTTAATGTTATGTGTAATATTACTTATAAGTTTTAAAACCTGTTCATCTGATAAAATATTTTTTCCTAAAAAATATTTCTTCAGGAGAAAAGAAAAAAAACCATTTCAAATGACTAAATATTTAATAAACTGCATCAGTGAACAAAATCAGAAACAAAGAAAATTACCAAGATTTGCATTCTGAAGGGAATTTCAAGTAAATATGCTGAAAAATAAGGCTGATAAATAGTGCAATTATATGCAAAGGACCATAGCAACATAAAACAAATAACAGAGAAATGGAGTCTCCAAGTAATAAGTTGTATGTTTTGCCTTAACAAAAATCAAAAGCAGTTACCACTTCTGTGAAAGAAGACCAGAATTAAATAAAATAATTAACTTACTTTTAATCCAGAATCATTTCCCAATAATGCTTCAGTAAGGCATAATAGAATTAGAGGTAGGTATGTTATGTGAGATTTTTGTGTTGAATCCTGTCCAACGAGGTATAATAATATTTTTGATTGGACAGGATTTAACACAAAAAAAATAATTTTATTAAATCAGATTTTCAAGCAGTTATCATTAATGGTTGATAAAACAAATCTTTACCAATAGTATTTAACGCTGCTTCCTTTAAAGAGAGAGAAAATAATCTTGATTATTATAAACTAATATAAAATTAACACAAAGAAAAAGTTCTTCAGAGTTCACACGATCGGTTGTGGAGTTTAAAGTTGGTAATCCGTTGTCATTTCTGACTATGAGACTTTTTACACCATATGACGTAAAAATTTTTTAAAATATAAGTCATTTGTTGGTGGTGGCCACTCATACTTAAATAAATCACAATTTCTGATTTCATTATTTAAAATTTTATACATATATAACAAATGATTTTTGTAATTAAATGTTTGATTAACTCTTCTTTTAAACATACTATGTTTAAAATACTCTTTGCAAGATCCCAGCATTGTAAGTTAATGTGATGGAAATTAGATTACTATAACTTTAGAAACCTTTACAAAAAATATATAACATTGCAGAAAATGTCTAATATATTTTTTATCACTCGAATAAAATAGTTTAAGGATTTACTAGTATATTCATTTTATAAGAGTTTTGAAAATGTTAATAAAAAAATAATAATTTCTTTATTTACAGCTTTCTTACAGATGTTTATATTATCCTTATATTATTTTTTTTTGTTTTGAATAAATTTGACAAATAACAATCCTTTACTTTACCTTATTAAATAAATAAGTTAATAACTTAATCAATAAGTCAATAAGACTTTGCTAAATCTAAATTAGTGTCATATTGTAAATATTTTTACTGATCAACTTTGTTTTTTACAACGCTTTTTAATGTTCTTTCTTTGTAAAGTTTGATAATCCAAAACATGATAATACAAAAGATAACACCAAAAGTTGTTCTGTGTCTGTAAAACTGTTATTGAAACAACAAGAAGCTGTTGTCAAAGTGGCAC